TTTTTTTTTTTTTTTTTACAATTTTAGTATACCTTCTCCTCAAGGTTGGGTCACTCTGGCAGCTAAGGGCATGTTTTAGAGTCCAGTTAATGATTAATCAATTATATTAGTTAACGATTATTATTTAAATGATCAATTAATCCGATTAATTGGCTACTTTCGCACTGCAGGCCTTGATGCTCAATTCTGATTTTTTTGTGAAATCCGATTTTTTCGTGTTGCCGTTCATATTTCCAAATATATGCGACTTGTATGTGATCTCCTGTGTGAACTGCAGTCATAGAACGCAAGTGTCCCGCATGCGCAGTAGAGAACGCAATGACGTCACAGGCCAGTGTGCTCTTTTTTTTCCGGAAGTAAACATGGATGGTAGTGCCGGCGCGCATCTATCGGTCTGTTCCAACCATAAAAACACAATCTTTTCAATATAGTTAAACATAAATACTGCTCTCTGCATCATCATCTGCCATGGTTGTTGTTTTTCTTGTTGCTTCTGCGTAGCAAGATGCAGAATAGTGACCTTTGTCGGGTATTAATGAAGTTCGGGTCGGATGTATCCGACCTGGCCGTACAGACACAGGTCGCATTTGAAAAGATCAGATTCGTATCGGATTCAGGACCACATAACCAAGTGGCCTGGGTCCCACTGGAAAAAATTTGATCTGAGTGGTTCAGACAGCAATGAAAAGATTTGATTCAGGTCACATATAAGCAAAAAAAAAAATCGGATTTGGGTCAATTCAGGCTGCAGTGTGAACGTAGCCATTGTAATCGATTATTGAAACAATAGTCAACTAATTTAGTAATTCATTATCTTTATATTTTTAGTATAGAGTCTCTAAAACATGCCGTTAGCTGCCACAGTGACCCAATTAGAGCAGGAATTATACCAAAATCTTATTCCGCTGTAGCTACCAGATCTGCTCGGGTCCTGTTTCATGCCAGTGACATTACGCTACGTGATTGCCTGAACATTTCCACGTGACGAATAAACATTGTGGTTACCTAGACAACGAGAATAACATCACACAGCGTCGGTGTTCCGAGCCGGGAGCATCTGTAGCGTTAGCGTGTCTGATGGCTGATGAAGTTTTGATCGATAACAAAACTGAAAAAAAAATCTGTTTATGTAAACAAAGCAGCTGTTAGACCCTGATATAAAGAGCTAGGTAGCACTGTGGCTAGCTGTGCTCAGTAGCTAACAGGTTAGCCTCTTTTAGCTTGGTCAGTTAGCCATATTAAGCTACACTACTTTTAAATTTGTGTCAAAAACAACCGTAGAAGTAGAATAACTGTTTTATTTGTCTAAAATCTCTACGAAAGTCATTTTTTAAGATGTTCCAATTGTCCTCCTCTTTCCTCAGATGTTAATAAAAAAAATAAAAATAAGCTGAGACTCTTTTTGTCGCCTTGTTAAATAGCAGAGCTCAGTCTGTCCTAGAACGCAGTACTTTCCTTCAGGACTGACAATTATTGTTTTCTACTTTCAGCTAATTTAGATCGCCAATGAAATTTAAAATAATAACAAATATAGGTAATAAAATGTTGAGACTCCAAAAGAGATTTGATCTGTAAGAAACCAGTGCAATACAGTTTGTCCGAGTGGAGTTGCCATATGATGACGTCATAAGAAGGGGCGGGACCCCTAGCAGATCTGACCACCAGAGCACATCTGGTACCTACAGCATCAATGCTCTACCCACAGCTCCTGTAGCGGAAAAGTTTAGTTCTTCTTTAAGGAAATGTTTCTATCTGATTATTAATCGACGGATTAGCATGAATAATTGTTAGTTGCATCCCTTCTCTGGAGGCAAATTTATGCTAAAATTGGGCTGAATACAAATTTTTAAATGTTTAACTCTTGTTATAAAGTGACAGATATGTGACAAATGTTTAGATTTGTGTGTAAAAGTTTCTTTTGAACGCCTCATCAGCTAATTTCCTCTCCTGCCTCTGGCTTCCCAGGTTCCTCTCCAGCTGATCGAGTGTGTGGAGGTTCGGGATATGTTTCAGCTTCACGTCACCTGTAAGGACTGCAAGGTCGTCAGGTGAAACTCAAATCTTCATTTGTTCTAATATTTACAAAATAAAGCCCTTTCACAACATGACGATTTGGATCAGAGCATGACTGACGTATGAACAATCTGGCAAAAACGCTGGCATATGATGGATAAGTTATGAGCACCCTGAAGCACGCTGGCACACGTCGACATATGGCGAGCATGTTGTGTCGTATGCCAGCGTACGCCATAAGTTAGTCATCTGATTGATGATATATGTTATGTGTCAGTTACTCATCTGTCAAACTCACCCGCCTTAATGTGCAGGGCGACCAATCAGGTGTTAGATAGCCGCCCCCTAACTTTGATGGGTGAGTTTGACAGATTATTTTAAAGGTTTCGATGCATTGCGACACAGGACCTTGAAATAATTAAATGCACACTGAAATAATTAAATATTTTTTTTTAATAAAATGATGTATTTTATTAAATTAATGACACATTTATATATTTAATTCCTTATTTATTTAATGAATTACACATTTAATTAATTGTTTATCGCTGTATTTATTTATTTAATTGTGGCACTTTATATTAGTGACGTGGTTTTGGTTAATTAATGACACATTTATTTATTTAATTCCACATTTAATTAATTATTTAATGCTGTATTTTATTTATTTAATTTTGGCTGTTTCATGGTAGAAATCTTAGCTGTTTAATGTTAACATTCAGTCAGTGGTTTGTCGCTCCTCCATGTTGTTGCAAGTCTCTTATTCGGACCTTAAACATTTTAGAAATATCTTTTACAGATTTTCAAGGATTTTTTTATTGTTTGTTTTAAGCCTTAAAGTATTGAAAAACTGGAACTTTTAGTCCATAAAAACTGTAGTTTTAATTGAAAAATATCTCAGAACCCGTCCTGCCATGATTGCTGCTGGATGTTGTTTTGGTTAAAAAGTTATTCCCAGATGGTTTTGATCTAGAGTCCTTATAAACATGCAGCAGGAGGAAGCTAGGTAAGGTCAGCTCAGGCCTCTGCAGCCACAGAGACGCCAATCTTTGCATTAATGGTTGTTCTCTTTAAAGATAACCCAATACACGTATAGAAGAATGATTTAGATTTAAGGTAAAAGTTTCCTTTTCATAACAAAACCTCCTTAATCACAGAAAACTGAACGAAAATGGGTTGAACTAGAGTGGGGAAGCAATCCGCTTTAAAAAGTGATCTTCTTGCAGACGATTGGGTGAGCGGATGAGCTGCAGGGTTGCAAGATTCTTCCGGATGGAGTTTTTTTCCCCCAGGATTTTTCCATGTTTTTTTCCAACCTGACGAAACTGTTTCTTCCAGAAAGACAGCTTTTTCTTACCATTTGAAGGCTGTTAAGCCCCTTTCACACCTTGACGATTTAGAGCAGTGTATTTAGATTCTTACAGCCCAGTTTATTTTTTTAAGGGACATCATAGGGGACATTTTTAATAAAAATGCAGCTTTGTCTAATATGTTAAGAGAAGAAAAGATGAAAACTGCAGGAATCAGGGAGTTTAAAGCCAGCTTTCCGTTAGTTTTGTCTCATGTTGCAGCCCAGAAACTTCAGCTTTGGTTCAGGAGGTACGGTGGCTGAGAAGTGCAAAACACATTTACAATTCAAAAACACATTAACAAATAAAAAACAAAA